GAGAGGGAACTTGTAGTGATTAGCATGGCATACCTGAAGCACTGCAACAGCAGAGCAGCTGCATGTGTACGAAACAGTTAGTATGAAGTTTAAATTTACAGATACATGCACTATGTGCACTTGCAGTGAAATGTTTTCAATATTATGGAAATATGCAACAGTACCAGAGGCAAAAAAACTGATTCGAACTTCGAAGTAAATACTAAATGGATTATTTAATACAAATACTCAAATTCTTCCTTGAAAATTCAAACAGAGTGCCCTTAAAATTTTGCATGTACCAATATTAACGAGTTGTGAACAGGTCGGCCATCAGAGTAATGTCCAATACACGCATCTGATGTCTGATGGTGAAGATGGTGTACGGTGGTGTATGATGGTTGAAGTGTGTCAGATGGTTGTCAGATGGTGCAGATGGTACAGATGGTGTATGATGGTCGAAGTGTGTCAGATGGTTGTCAGATAGTGTATGATGGTGTATGATGGTCGAAGTGTGTCAGATGGTTGTCAGAGATGGTGTATGATGGTGTAGGGTGGTTATACAGGAAAGGGTTGTCAGATGGTGAAGATGGTACAGATGGTGTATGATGGTCGAAGTGTGTCAGATGGTTGTCAGATGGTGTATGATGGTGTATGATGGTCGAAGTGTGTCAGATGGTTTTCAGATGGTGTATGATGGTGTAGGGTGGTTATACAGGGAAGGGTTGTCAGATGGTGCAGATGGTACAGATGGTGTATGATGGTCGAAGTGTGTCAGATGGTTGTCAGATAGTGTATGATGGTGTATGATGGTCGAAGTGTGTCAGACGGTTTTCAGATGGTGTATGATGGTGTAGGGTGGTTATACAGGGAAGGGTTGTCAGATGGTGAAGATGGTACAGATGGTGTATGATGGTCGAAATGTGTCGGATGGTTATCGGATGGTGTATGATGGTCGAAATGTGTCAGATGGTTGTCAGATGGTGTATGGTGGTGTATGATGGTCGAAGTGTGTCAGATGGTTGTCAGATGGTGTATGATGGTGTAGGGTGGTTATACAGGGAAGGGTTGTCAGATGGTGAAGATGGTACAGATGGTGTATGATGGTCGCAGTGTGTCAGATGGTTGTCAGATGGTGTATGATGGTGTATGATGGTGTATGATGGTCGCAGTGTGTCAGATGGTTGTCAGATGGTGTATGATGGTGTATGATGGTCGAAGTGTGTCAGATGGTTGTCAGATGGTGTATGATGGTGTATGATGGTCGAAGTGTGTCAGTTGGTTTTCAGATGGTGTATGATGGTGTAGGGTGGTTATACAGGGAAGGGTTGTCAGATGGTGAAGATGGTACAGATGGTGTATGGTGGTCGAAGTGTGTCAGATGGTTGTCAGATAGTGTATGATGGTGTATGATGGTCGGAGTGTGTCAGATGGTGTATGATGGTGTAGGGTGGTTATACAGGGAAGGGTTGTCAGATGGTAAAGATGGTACAGATGGTGTATGATGGTCGAAGTGTGTCAGATGGTTGTCAGATAGTGTATGATGGTGTATGATGGTCGGAGTGTGTCAGATGGTTGTCAGATGGTGCATGATGATGTAGGGTGGTTATACAGCGAAGGGTTGTCAGATGGTGAAGATGGTACAGATGGTGTATGATGGTCGAAGTGTGTCAGATGGTTGTCAGATGGTGTATGATGGTGTATGATGGTCGGAGTTTGTCAGATGGTTTTCAGATGGTGTATGATGCTGTAGGGTGGTTATACAGGGAAGGGTTGTCAGATGGTGAAGATGGTACAGATGGTGTATGATGGTCGCAGTGTGTCAGATGGTTGTCAGATGGTGTATGATGGTGTATGATGGTGTATGATGGTCGCAGTGTGTCAGATGGTTGTCAGATGGTGTATGATGGTGTATGATGGTCGCAGTGTGTCAGATGGTTGTCAGATGGTGTATGATGGTGTATGATGGTGTATGATGGTCGCAGTGTGTCAGATGGTTGTCAGATGGTGTATGATGGTGTATGATGGTCGAAGTGTGTCAGATGGTTGTCAGATGGTGTATGATGGTGTATGATGGTCGAAGTGTGTCGGATGCTTTTCAGATGGTGTATGATGGTGTATGGTGGTTATACAGGGAAGAGCTGTCAGATGGTGAAGATGGTACAGATGGTGTATGATGGTCGCGGGGTGTCATTCGCTGTAGGATGCTTATATTAGATATTACATTGCTATATTTTATACTTACATACACTTTAGTCGACTATGGTATGTGTATAAAAATATGTTATATCTAACATTGCGGTTGTCGTGTGGGACGTAATTGAAAGTATTTGGCAAAATATATATTTAAACACATTTGACAGACGTGTTCGACGTTAATATATTTAAACGCATTTGACAGACATGTTGGACGTAATAAACAAAAATATAATATGAATATATGATATTTCACGTTGCGGTTCTCATGTGGGAAACGCAATTTAAAGTATTAGGCAAAATATATTAAAACGCATTTGGCAGACATGTTGGAGGTAATAAATAAAAATATAATATGAATATATGATATCTCACAATGCGGTTCTCATGTGGGAAAGGTAATTCAAAGTATTTGGCAAAATATATTTAAGCGCATTTGACAGTCATGTTCGAGGTAACAACTAACAAATAAAAATATAATATAAATATATGATATCTCACAATGCGGTTCTCATGTGGGAAACGTAATTCAAAGTATTGGGCAAAATATCACATTTGACGGACATGTTCGAGGTAATAAAAATTGAATTTTGCTGAACTTATCGCGCGGCGTTGACAGAAAAGTCTTCATTGTAGGCTTTTATTTCTACAAGCAACAGTTTCTTACTGTAATAACACCAATTCGGTTGGGTAGATTTACTGTATAGGGGCGTCATGTTTGAACTCTATTGTATGTAAGGGAAATAGACGACTAGTGTATAAATGGCAGAAATTTTGAGGCATCCAAGGGAGACATATATCTCATAAATCAAAGTGTTGAAATTTGAGACGGCTTCCGTTTTTGTGTTCGGGTCAAGGATAGCTAGACTATATTAAGCGCGCGTGGTTTATAGCGCCCTGGTTGAATGTTCAAAACTTCGTAAGTAGATTTGCAGCCATGCCTTCGCTTAGAGATAACAATCGTTTTAGCACTGTCAGGTAGCCGCGGATTGGGCCCCAGATTCGGCCTTAGATTGGGCCTCACATTCAACTGTATATTCAGTTATTCAAAAGTAGATTATTTGAACCCCTTTTCTGGCTACTTTTAAGATATTTTTTACTTTAAATTAGCAGTAACATGAGCAATGCCAACTCCTGCACCATATAGCTGAGTTTCGAAACAATTAGGGAGGCCGATTTTGTACAAACGCTTGCTGAATATAGATGTTAGCACAGTGTAATACTATTGTCTAACATTTTTTTTATATAAACAAAAGAAATGAGTGTAATTCTATAAACAAATTAAAGCAATAAGCACCTTATTAATCCTTGCCGTTTTATTTTATTTATTTACTAGCTTTGTCATTAATGATTGGTGATCCCTACAGGGCTTATTGCCCCATTCACATGCAGGGTCCTTAAACTAAACGTTTACATCAATTACAACACATTTTATCTACAATGCTCGACAAAGGACGACACGATCGAGTGACATTTAACACAGCCAGTTTTAAACGATTGTGCTACATTAATGTCAAATATAATGGACGTTGGTGAGCTTGTACCCCAATTTGCTTCACTATTAGAAAGAGCATGAAATACTGCCCAATATGTTGAGTTTCACAACAATTAGGAATACAGATCTTGCGGAATATAGATGTTTGCACAATGTAATTCTATAAACAAAAGCAATTACCACCTTATTAATCCTTGCCGTTTTGACATTGGTGAGCTTGTGCCCCAACTTTGCGGTACATCATTGGAAAGAGCATGAAATACTGCATAATTTTGGCGAATTTTGGTAACCGTTTTATGTACCGTTGCCGTGGTTTTGAAAGTAGTCTTATATACGCCCGTATTCTAAAAGCTCATTCACACTCAATGAGTGGAAGTTCAGTGTGAGCTTCTCTCGAGTGTCATTGCTGTTTTTGAATAGGTGGAGGGTTAGTGTCGTACCGTTACTATGTGACTATACTCACATTCCCGGCAGCTATTGAAAAACAGCGCTGACACTCAAGAGAAGCTCAGATTGAACCTCCATGCACTCATGCATTGAGTATGACTGGATCTTTTAGAATACGGGTGTTAGTGCAGGTTTCTGTAATTATGTCAGAAGGTTACTAGATTTTATATATAAAGAGTTCGTTATTATAATTTTTGTATGATGTTAATCTGATAATCTGCACCGTTATTTGTAAATTTGACATTGTATGAGGAGTGGAATTCTATGGAACTTTTTTAGGTGGGAGAATACCTCGCACCTGCGAACAAGTTGGGTATGGGAGACCGATCTTTGACAAGTGTTATATTATTAAGTTCACAATGTCCACGATGCATGCATGCATACAGTGGTTTGAAAATTAAAATTATATAAAAAATATAAATGTATTTGCCAATGGTTTCAGGATATTTTAAGGAAATTTAATATATCGATTTCATAAATGATTATATAATTGTAAAACACCAGTCACCAAAACTGTATCGAAAATGCATGGCTATATTTGGGAGCAATCCCAGTAAAACGATCTATTCTGTAACGAGTCCTCCGGTGACTCGAATCATAACTCGATGTGAATCCTCGTGGTTACTAACTCAAAATAGTCGCTATTAGCACTGGCGGCTAAACATGTACAATCAATTAGTCAATGTCAATGGCACATTGTCCTTGACAACGTTACTAAAAGTATATACGAAAAACGTCTATACGTGGCCTATAGATGCTTTGTACAATTGAGCATAGAAACCTTTACGCATATATAGAGCCCTGTAATTGTCCTTGACGACGTAAATTACAAAATGGGCAGTTATGACGGTTTGAAAACGAGTATAATATAGGCTATTGTATTGCTGTCTTTTCTGACAGTTCTTAACCTTTAAAGTAAATTAGAAAATGATGTAATTATACTCGCTTGCGATAGTAAATTATATTCGTCGTTTTGCAGTGGCGTAACTCCTATGAGCTCTACCCGGTAAGAGCCGGGGGCACGCAGGCAATCTGGCTTCCAGGGGGGGAGGCACAGTGGACTTAGTTGTCCGGCGGCCTTGTTTATATAATTTCCGTTTCGTAAAGCTATTAAGAATTTTTGCCGTTTTCAGATTTTCTGTATCACAGTTGGTATATATAACGTGACTCCAGAAGTTGAAGCGAAACTAAGACAAAGTACAAATGCACAATGCAAAAATAGAATGTCTTCGGAACCAGTGGCAGTCAAGAATTATACGACGTGTTTCGACAGACAGAACTGACAAACAACCGATCTTGCGTTCATGTGATTTCTTGAGAATGGCTTCCACTTGCTAGGATATTTAGAAGGAAATTGTAAGGGACCGGTCATAAAGCCCTTGCATAAAAATTGATGACCCACCCCTGCGTTAAAAATTTGCTTCAAGACAAACTCTTTACTTCCTTCGTGTTCTTTCTCGTTCCACTATAGTATGTACTACATGACATAGCCAACAAGTAGTACACACTTTAGTGGTGAAAATTCATGGATAACCATTCATAACTGCTGTGCGGCAGCGAGCGAGCATGAAGCGAGCGAAGCAGCATTCTAATATATGCAGAGAGGTGGTTTTGAAGTAATGTGGGGCCACTGTAATTGGCGTAGCTGTTGTGGTTTCCTAGCCAGTGAATGTATAAGTATTATGGCAAAGTAAATAAATTTTATTTAGCGCATTGCATTGTCGTCGCGTGCGCTCTTGCTATGCGCAGAACATAAAATATAAGCGACGTGCGACATACAGTATTTGAGGCGTATTTGAAAGATATCGTTATGTATCGTTTTGCTTGCTTCGACTTGTAAATTATTTTGACTCAGGCACTCAGCGTAAGGTTTATTAAAGTTTTAGGCCCTGCAAAGGCCATAAAATAACGTGACTGCACTTTGTGCCTTGTAATGCACTCAATGGACTTCAGCCACTGAACACTGTTAGTTCTATATTATTATAAAGTTTTGGTTTCTTAGTTTAATTTAATTACTGTGTATATAATGTGGTAAATGCGCCTAGCAGTATTAGACTTAATATGAAATCCAATAGCAAAAACTTGTGTTATATAATCCACAGTTCCACTTGCATGGTCTTGTAAATATTATATACTCTTGCTTATGCTTTAGAATATTACTTCCATAAACATTAACACGCAAGTATTGAATGAGACGCACATGTTTAATTTTTCAGTTTTTTAGTTATTATTATAATTATTTTTTATAATAAAAATGGCGCTTGCCATTTCATTTGCCTGCATGGCGAGATCATGGCGCTTGCCATGATCTCAATTGAGGCAGACGAAGCAAGAAAGCTTTCCGTTGACAAAATTATCGATGAGTTTGCTGAAAAAAAGACCAGGTGCGAGAAATTTAAGATGTACTGTAATGTTACATTTAATTGAGGATGTATGTGCATAATTACAGTGGCACACACTTCACTCTTTATGTCAAAAACAATTTCCGCATAGTGCTATTTTATAGTTGTTTTTTTTATATTTTGCCATATATTTATATTTCCAGTTTAAAAAATCCATTAAAATTGGCTTCTAAACGACTAGAAAAATGTTCATGTTGTCAGAGCTCCATCTTCAAAATATCTATGATCCCCCGCCTTGAGGGCATCCAATCCCGGTAGTACGAGGGCAGCCTGGTCCAAACTTACGCCACTGTCGTTTTGTTCTGTTTATATAGTTTTAAGTCGTCGCATAATTGAGCGCTGTATGCACCGCACTCCACAGGCTCTTATATTACAGTCTATGCATGTATTAGTGTTCAGTTCCGTGCTCAGTAGGCTATATATAGCCACACTGTACGTGTCAAACATTTTTATATATTATATTTTCGAGGAGTTTGAAACATATTTTGTACCGTATATTGAAATTTGCATCTTGTAATTGGGACTAGTTAAATTCGTTTGAAAACTCTGCAAAGATTACGCACATGATCTTCCTAGTGTTTTACTTTAGACTGAGATGCCTGCTGTTTTATATTTATCATTGTAGTTTACGCCGAATTTGAAGCAGTAAAAGGTAATGAATTGCTTCATTCAGTTATATAAAGTGCGCACAAGATTAAAACAAGAACCCGGCTGGCTTATGCATGTATTTGTCATTGACATAGCATGGCTGCGTTACAGCCCGCTAGTGCCCTGAAATGCCTAAAATGTCAAAGCGAATATAAGCATGTATACATATGAAACGTATAAATACACAATTTTTGACGTTGTCAAAGATTGTATAGTAATGCGTTGACGCGTTTGCTACTGCAGTTTACTACATACGAAGCGTGTTTTTTAAAGAACGAGGCAACACTATATAATAATGTATAATTAGCCATAACGCTTTTGTCGTTGATCTCATATATGGTTGGTGTTGTAGGTTTTATTGATAGTATAGCTACGTGGTTTTGAAAGAACGAGGCAACACTATATATGCACAATTAGCCATAACGCTTTTGTCGTTGGTCTGGTAGGCTTTATTGATATATACGTGGTTTTGAAAGAACGAGGCAACACTATATATATATACGCACAATTAGCCATAACGCTTTTGTCGTTGGTCTGGTAGGTTTGATTGATATATACCTGGCGGAAAGAACGAGGCAACACTATATATGCACAAGTAGGTTAAAAATTAACACTCCCCTCCCCCCCATTAAACAATCATCACCATCTTACACCATATTCACCACCTGACAACAGCTGTTCAGCTGAACCATCCTACACCATCCGACACCACACTACAAGCGTCTGACAAACAAAGCATCTGACACCATCTTACACCATCTTCACCACCTGACAACCGATGGCTATATTGGACATATATGTGTTTTATAGTATATAATATGTACCGTATACAAGGAATAACGCAGACTCCTATAAGGTGGAGCATCTTCAAAACCTGCCAGCAAAGAGTATGCCAGCAAAAGATGGCACATCTTTCTGGCACAGGAGTTTCCACTAAAAGGACTCTTAGTTATTTCGGCAGAGGCAAAGCGAAAGGCTATATATTTTGCGTTGCGCCGTGTTTTATAGTATATAATATGTACCGTATACAAGGAATAACACAGACTCCTATTATATAGCTTCCACTGGTTAAGAAAAGATGGAGCATCTTCATAACCTGCCAGCAAAAGATGGCATATCTTTCTGGCACAGGCGTTTCCACTAAAAGGACTCTCAATTAGTATTCCAGCAAAGGCAAAGGCTATATTTTACGTTGCCCTGTGATTTATAGTGGGATATGTACTGCATGCAGAGAAAAATACATGCACCCTTTTCATAAATGGCTGCCGATTAAAAATTCTTTTATGGGCATATAAGATCATATAAATTGGCCCAACTAGCCTCGTACTCATGGTAAGATTTCAAAGGAATTTTTATTCCTTCGAAATCTTAACATGAGTAGGAGGCTAGTTGGGCCAATTTATATGCACATAAAAGATTTTTAATCGGCAGCCATTTATGAAAAGGATGTATGATGGATGGAACAAGAGACACTCAGTCGGCAGATGTTAGCCCATATTAACTTATCTCAACTATATAGGAAAGCTCAAAACTAAGAAGATGTATATATGTACACTAAATTTGATTCAGGCCTTACTAAATGAATTTTATAAAATGAAACTATAACCTCACCTCAACAAAGTTTATGATGTCCAGTTTGCTCTTAGCAGGTTGACTTTTTTATTTGAAGAGTGAATTCAATGTTCTTCATTACTGTAGGTGATCAGAAGTACTTTCTATAGAATTACATACATAAAAAATAATATTAATTAAGTTACATTTTTAATAAAAGCTTTGTGATATTTTGAGAGCTAAACAATGCAATTTTGATTTTTCATGTCATTTATTAGTTACCGGTACAGTATAAACCAAAATGCAATTTTCATTCTTTATTTTCTATTAACGACACCTAATGTCGGTGCTAATGAATCCAATGTTGGTACCAGTACTCTAATTAATCAAAAAACAAAATGATATGATTTAATTACCAGATCACTGTTCATGTGGTGGCTTCATAACTCCTTTTGAAATACCATAGTAAATAAGTGGGTCCAATTGGTCAATCAGCTGCTGATTTTCACAATTCCTCATATATGCGCTTTCTTCTGCTTCTTCAGGTTGATTGAGGTTCCTTCAAACTTCTTCTGTCAACAACCTATTTGATGAGTGATGATGTAAATTTTTTGAAAATAACCGCATACCTTATTCCAGAGTTTTTATTACCATAATGATACTGTAGCTCATATACTTTACTCAGTAGTCAGTGGTATATCTTTACTATTTTGACCACTTGTCCTTAGGGCAAGTTCAATTTGCCAAGTTGGATAGGAAAATTAGTTGCCCTGAATAAAATTCACTTGCCATCAGACAATGGCCACTGGGGTACCTACTGTAGGTAGGGGGTATAAATTAAGGGGACTACAACATGTCGACCCTTTCTTCCACTGCTCTAGATACCTTAGATCTAGCTGTGGCCCACAAAAAAACAAAATTTGAATCCATGCACAAATACAACATGGACTTTATAAAAAAATTATCCGGCAATGAAAACATAAATTTAAAGATGCCCAGCTTTTTGTGGCAATGATATTCACTTCCCCGAGCAAGTGTTAAGTTAGAAGTTACAACTCTGTTACTTATTGAAAGCATGATATAACTTGGCATCCTTAACCAATTAACCACCATCACTCTCCCGTGGTCACTCACAAATAAAATTGTCTGGCGTTAGACAGGAATACAAGAAAGGGTGCGATGCAACTTCATGGGTTAAAACATGATCTCTGGGACTCAAATTGACCATAGTGACTCAAATTTTCCCACAAAAAGAAATCAATAATTTATTTGTAATCATTCTGTTATGTAGGATAGAGTTTACAACATGAGAAAGAATTTTTGAACAGCAAAATCCATTAGATAGGTATAAAATGTAAGGGCAATGTTGTTGGTATTTGTGATCTAATATGCTATTGTCTTATTCCAGAAAACATTCATATGGTTATGATTTAACCTCAGTTGTATTGGTGATGCAAGTGAGGTTAAATCAA